TTGGCGAACGATGCTTGGCGCCTCTCTGAAGGCAACAGTGCAAGCTTATGGCAGGGAGCACGTGCTCCCTGCCATAAGCGTTTTCAGGACTTCTACAAAAATGCGAGTTTGTATCGAATAGTCACCAGGAATGGCAATTGTTGCTTCCGTTGACGTACATCTGGGCAGACCGAGGCACACTCTCAGCGCTTGGGCTTGTACTGCCTGTAGAACACGAACATTGGTCTTGCAGGTATTGCTAATCACGGGCAAGCTATATCTGAGGAAACCGAGAAACAGGGCCCTGTAGAGCTCCATCATTGCGTCTACTGACATCCCCCACGTCTTTCCTGCCCGGAAGTTGAACAGTTGGGAAATAGCGGTCAGGCGCTTCTTCATATAGGTCACATGCGGACTCCAACAGTGGTCCCTATCAATAATGATGCCCAGAAACCGGTGAGTTTTGGCGTAAGAAATCGGTCGCCCGCAGATTGAGATGACATAAGGGGTCATTGCTTTGCGAGTGAAGGCCACCAGCACGCATTTTTCTGGTGATATGCTGAGACCTTGTTTGAACAAGTAGTTGGCAATCATAGTGCTGCTTTTTGAAACCGGGAACGTATCTGAGGACGTGTGACTGCCGATGTCCAGACACAGATGTCGTCTGCGTATATTGAGATTTTAATGGTGCTTGGCAAGTATTCAGCAAGGCCAATTAGTGCAAGATTAAATAGCGTCGGGCTAAGAACTTCGCCTTGAGGAACACCCCTAGAAGTATAGCGTCGCGTAGTTGGGCCATCTTCTGTTAACACAAAGAATTATCTTGCTGCCAGGTAACTCGAAATCCACCGAAAGACTCGACCACCAAGGCCAACCACCGCAAGAGCACCCAAAATGACTTCATGTAGTTCATTATCATAAGCGCCTTTCACATCTAGAAACAAAGCTGCAGATAGTTGCTTACGGGATCTTTCGTGCTGAACGTACGAAACTAGATCAACGACATTGTCAATAGAAGAGCGGTCGCGTCGAAACCAGCCATTGAATTCGATAAATCTATATAGTATCACGATACCACTCCAGGCGCCTAGTATATCCGTTTCCTTATCCTCCCTGCGCAGCTGGCCAGTGCTATTGTGGGCGGTATGAGGTGAGTTCGAGTGGGGATTTGCCCTCTTCAAGATGGGTAAAAGCGCTTACTTTCCAGTCATCAGCAACATTGCCATCTTGCCACGAGATGTTGTAGAGGAACAACAGTTCGTTCCTTGCACCTTCCCCAAGGTGCACAAGGCTCGGTACGGAATACCATTTGGGCCCGGAGAAGTTGAACGCCTGCAGGGAGCTAGTGCCGCCTCGAGCTCCTCCATTGTAAAAGGAGGTCCATGCGGTAGTCACGGGAACGGGGTATGTCACCTCTCACTGGAGAATCTGGACGAGTGGCTTGGTTGGGTGATCTGTGCACAGAAATCTTCTGCGACATCGATATCTTGCGTCCTTTGAAATAGCGCGAGCGCTTTAAATGGAAAGCGCTGTTCCGTAGGGTGACGCAGACCTTGCACCGTTTTCCAAATGTGTGAGAGTGGCTTGCGAGGGTCAAGTGACTGGCGAAACGTTGTCCATCGTTCCGACGCTAATCTATCCATGTGACGCTGAATATTATTTGCATCCTCCTGGCTGCCCTTAGATCGTGAATTGATTTTGTACGCCGATACCGACGCTCCGCCCGGCGTCGCAGTGCTCGGAGTCGCTCCAACTCTATATCAAAGTCGTTTCGTGTGGAAGTATCGTCACCGTGCGAGTGGCGTTTTGCATTGTGCTCTTAATTGTTTCCTCTAACCCAGATCGTAGGCCATTGCTGCAAGCATCTTCCATGTCAGATTTGAAGTTGGTCCATTGGACTGCTCGAATGGTCGTCCATGAACCATAACTAGACAAGCCTTTGATGTTAAGGTAGATTGGAATGTGATCATTACTCGTGTCTCCAACATCTGGAAACCACTTGACATATCTCGCGAGGGAGTTGGAGATAAAGGCAAGGGTCGAGACAGCTGCCGTATGTCACCCCTCGAAGAAAAGTGGGGCTGCCGTCGTTCAGGAGAGTAAGGCCATAGTTGTAGGCGATGTTTGCTAACTTGCGTCCTCTTGCATTTGTCCGCGCACTTCCCCATGCGTGATTGTGCGCATTGAAATCACCTATGAGGACCATGGTGCAGGACACACTCTCAAAATATCCGCTAATCTCCTGGAATCGAGATCATTCGACGGCGATATATAAACGCCTATGAGAGTAAACATGAGTTTGTTCTTTTTCACAGTGATTGCAGACATACTGATTGTCATCGTGAGGTGCAATTGGTTGCACAACATACGTCAGTTCACGACAAAGACGATGATTTGCTGCACGCACCGTTCGTTGAAGACATGACAGCTTCGTACCCCGACAGTCTTATTCGTTTCGACAAATTGGGTTCACAAATGACGATGATTGGAAACACGTTGCTAAACACAAACTGACGAAAATTTGAAAGGCGTGATTTTAGTCCTCTGGCGTTACATTGGATGACGGATGCAGCCTTGACTTTAGGAAATGTTGAGGTGTGAGTAGCCATCTTCCTAGTTGAGAGATTCAAGCACTGGGCTTAGGGCGTCCAATAGTCCAAGTGCGCTTCGAGCAGATGGTGTCTTCATGTCGACTAATATCGCTCGGATGGCTTCTATGAGGGAACGCAGCACCGACCGAAATCACTTGACGATCAGTTTTAGGCAAATCTTTCATGGTTGGAGACGGCTCTTGTGTGGCCACAACCTGCAGAGGTTCCTTGGCAGAAGAGCGCGTCGGGAGCGTGGGCCATTCCTCCAGAGAAGGAGGCTTCTCTGTTTCTTTCGTAGAAGTGGTAGGCCCTTTCGCAGCGCTACTGGATGGAACCGCTAAAAAGTGGGAAGGAGCGTCTCGGGAATGTGCCTTCTTTGAAGACTTTCGATGATGCCGACGTCGACGCCGAAGCCGGACTACTTCGGCTGCCTCCCTGTGTGACGAGTTGTCTCGTGCTATTTGTCTGAGAACCACGCGCTTCTTTTGGATTCGAGGACAGTCTTTCGACGAGGCAGCATGAGTACCGCTGCAGTTGGCGCACTTCAGAGTAGTCGCCTGACAGGCGTCTTCAGCATGAGGTTCAGCGCAGCGGGGACACAGTCGTAAGTTGGGGCATACGCCCTTGACGTGTCCTAGCCTGAAGCACTGATGACATTGAAGTGGCTTTTAGATGAATGGTCGAACCAGATGTCGAAAATGTCCAACTTTAACGTGGGACGGTATGCAATCTCCCTTGAAAAACACTTTTACACAGCGCGTGTTTCCAAGGCGCCGCACTTGCGTAATGACAGTTCCCTCGTTTGTAGGCTTGATGAGGGTAGACAAGTCAGCATTAGGAATGGCAATGTCGATGTCATAAATTACACCGGCAATTGATTTAGCATCCATCGGGATAAAGGGGTGCATTTTAATGCCACCTAGCTCAGTCATTTGCTGCAGTTGTCCTAGCGCTCACATCGTGCACGTCTAGCGAGAATGTTCTTCCCTGGGTTTACTCGTACGTCCTTAATTTGATGTGGCACCGCACATTCGAGAGCAACGGAGAGGGCTTGCCTGTTCAGAAGCCGTAGGTTGCTTGATGGATCTTCGGGCATGAAGATAATGACGTGCGGCCAGCGCGCAGGCCTTGACTGCACAGTCGCTGTGCTTGCAGGAGCTGATGCTGCTGTATTCGCCGTCCTTCTCTTCGCCCTCTTACCCCGGACAGGTATAAAGCTGCCATCGGATGTGTCGTCTCCCGACATAGAATAGAGATCGGTGTCCTCAGTGTCACTGGGAGAGCCAGCTCGCTTCCTTGTGGTTGACGGGTGTGAGGACCTGTGACCAGGCGGGCCAAGCCAAGTCTAACATAATAGCCACCGCAACACGTGCTGATATGTGATGTGTGATATGTGATATGCATCGTGTTACGTCAGCACCAGGTTGCTATAAAAGATGAGTGCGTAGGAAATAAAGAGTTAGTGTTTCTCCACGGTATCAAGTGTGCTGTTCTTCCGTCAGCTGCTCTCCGCGAGTTGGCTATGACAGTGGCGACGAGGATGAAAGTGTGATCTGCTGGTGCCGCCTGGAACTTCCCTGTAAGGCTGTGTTCTCTACCGTGTGTAGAATGCCTGGTGTCGGCAAGCTTGAGCCGTTCGACGTGGGAACAACCAGCTGGGATGAGTATCAAGAGCGGGTAGAACAATTTTTCATAGCCAACGACGTCGAAGATGAAAAAAAGCGAGCAGTACTTCTCACCTGTTTGGGACCGGCCACGTATTCATTACTGCGGAACCTGCTGTCACCGTCGAAGCCGTCAGAAACAAGCCTGTCCACGATCCTTGACGTACTGAAGAAGCATTTTTCGCCGAGACCATCGGAAGTGGTTGCAACGTTCAAGTTTAATTCAAGAATACGTCATTCTGGTGAAACGGCTGGGGATTTCTTCGCTAGCCTGAACAAACTTGCTGACGATTGTGCTTTCGGCTCGTTTCGAGACAGAATGCTTCGTGACCGCATCGTGGCAGGCATCAACGACGAGACAATGCAGCGACGACTGTTGGAGTCACCAGATTTGACCCTTGATACCGCAAAGAAGACAGTTATCGCGATGGAAGCGGCGAACAAAGATTCTCGCGCGCTGTCAACAGCCATGCAAATGACTGTTGCGCCGACGAATGCCGTGTCACGTGATACAGGAAAGCAGAAGCATAAACTAGTTTCATGTTTCCGCTGCGGAGGCGAGCATCTGGCGACGCAGTGTTGACATGCAAGTAGCGTCTGTCACAAGTGTCGAAGCAAGGGGCACTTGGCGCGAGTATGCAAGGGTAAGGCAGTTACAGTTACGAGCGCAGGTGGTTCAGCGTTTTTGTCCCGGAAGCATCAGTCAATCCATACCGTAGACGACGAAGAAAGCCGTTCTGAGACACCGGCACCGCAAGTCTACGAAATGTGGCAAGTGCGCGCACCGGATCACGACGGTAGCCCGTACCGGGTTGAGGTGTCCGTGAATGGAACTTCACTCATTATGGAAATTGACACGGGAGCAAGTGTGTCTGTCGTGTCGGAAGAGACCTTTCGCCGCATATTTCCGTCTTGTCGTCTGGAACCGTCAAGCGTCATGCTGAAAGGTTACACCGGTGAGCTGTCCGCGGTGCAAGGCAGCCTGCCTGCGACTGTACGACAGGGAAACCATGAGTGCCGGGACGTGTTGTACGTCGTCCCAGGACGCTGCCCGTCCCTTATGGGGCGTGGCTGGATAAAAGGCCTCGGAATCGAGCTGCGCAGTGTGATGGACGTTAAGGCTATCACGTCGGTTGAGGGACTCGTCGCTGAGTATGCGAGTGTTTTCGACGACGCCTTGGGAACATTCAAGGGAGTGTCCGCGAAAATAACCATCGAAGACAACGCGAAGCCGCGGTTCTTCAAGGCTCGCCCTGTTCCGTTCGCAATGATCGACCGCGTCAACGAGGAACTGATGCGCATGGAACGAGTTGGAGTGCTGCGTCCAGTTAAGACTTCGGAATGGGCTGCGCCTATCGTGCCTATCTTGAAGCGGAGTGGCCAGATTCGGATATGTGGCGACTTCAAGGTCACTGTTAATCCCGTGACAGTGCCTGAAAAATACCCGATACCACGCGTTGAAGACCTGTCTTGCCGTCTTAGCGGTGGCGAGAAGTTCAGCAAATTGGACTTGAAGGATGCGTATTTGCAAGTTGAACTGGACGAGGCATCCCGCAAACTGGTGACAATCAACACACCAAAAGGCCTGTACCAATACACGCGTTTGCCTTTTGGCGTCACATCTGCTCCTTCAATTTTCCAGCGGGAGATGGAAAACCTGCTACAAGGGCTCAGACACGTTGTGGTGTACTTCGACGATGTTCTTGTGACTGGACGCGACGACCAGGACCATCTAACAAACCTGGGCCTAGTCCTAAGCCGACTGAAGCAAGCTGGGCTAAAATTGAAGCTTGACAAGTGTACCTTCCTGGAACGACAAGTTGAATACCTGGGTCACGTTGTCACGGCTGCGGGGTTTCAACCCAACCCTGAAAAGGTAGAGGCTGTGCTGAAGGCGCCTAGACCTGAAGATGTCAAGACATTACGGAGTTATCTAGGTCTGGTCAACTTCTACCGCAAGTTTCTGCCGGGGCTGTCTAGTGTGTTGCATCCCTTGAACGAGCTGCTTGTGGCCAAGGTGTCGTGGGAGTGGCGTGAGGATCATGAACGTGCTTTCCAAAGGAGCAAGGAGCTACTTGTTTCAGCAGCAGTGCTGGCGCATTATGACCCCAAGAAACCCGTGGTTCTCGTATGCGATGCGTCACCGTACGGCATTGGCGCCGTTCTGGCCCATAGAGAAGACTCGGGGGCTGAACGACCAATCGCATTTGCATCACGAAGTCTCGCGCCAGCCGAGCGAAATTACAGTCACATCGACAAGGAGGCTCTTGCGCTCATGTTTGGCGTAACCAAGTTCCGACAATACCTCTGGGGACGCGAGTTCGAGGCTATTACGGACCATAAACCATTACTGGGCTTGCTTTCTCCCGACAAGCGCGTGCCTGAGATGTGTTCACCGCGTATCATGCGTTGGGCTCTGATGCTTGGTGCGTATAACTACAAGCTCATGTACCGGCCGGGAGCAAGCATTGCCAACGCGGATGGTTTGAGTCGCCTACCACTACCAGGGTACGCTCAACCTGTGGAAAGGCCAGCGGAAGTTTTCATGCTGGAGGCTGCTTATCCTCGGGTGCTACGGTCGACTGTAGTCGCGGAAGCTACTTCCAAGGACCCAACCTTAGCGAAGCTACGAGAGGCCTTATGGTCTGGAGCTGAGCTACGTGACCCCAAATTCAGGTTCTACGCAGATCGAAAACTTCAGATGAGCGTGCAAGAAGACTGTATACTTCTCGGATCGCGAGTGGTCATCCCAAGTGCATTACAGCAAGAAGTGTTGCGACTCCTTCATGAGGGGCACCCTGGAATGACCAAGATGAAGGCTATCGCCAGGAGTCACGTCTGGTGGTCTTCGTTGGACGAGGACATTACCGCTGCAGTTCGCCAGTGTCAGATCTGCCAAGAACACCAGAGGTTTGCGCGGCCGGTAGCGATGACGCCATGGCCGTTTCCGGACAGACCATGGTCTCGCCTTCATATTGACTTTGCTGGACCTTTGAAGAACCGCTACTTGCTGATCGTTATCGATGCATTTTCAAAGTGGATAGAGGCCGTTCCTATATCTACACCATCGACAGAGGCAACTATCCCATGCCTGAAGGTTATGTTTGCTACTCACGGATTGCCAGACGTAGTGGTGTCCGACAACGGACCAGCGTTCGTGAGCGAGGAATTCAAACTGTTCCTGCATCGAAATGGCATCAAACAAGTATTGACACCCCCATACCATCCAGCGTCAAACGGGGCTGCAGAACGGGCAGTTCAGTGCATCAAGTCAAAGCTAAAGAAATCGGCTGGAGGGAATTTTTCATGCCAACTTGCCCGTATTCTTTTCAATTACAGGATTACTCCCCACGAAACTACCGGGTGCTCACCAGCGGAGCTGATCATGGGCCGTAAGTTAAAAACTGCTCTAACGTTGTTGCATCCAGACATGAAAGCTAAGGTCTTGCTGAAGCAGCTCAAGCAGAAGATTGTCCATGATGGTGGAGCTCAAACCACACCACCCGCAAGACCCGGAGACTACATCTACGCACAGAATTTCCGTTCGGGGCCAACCTGGATGCCCGCAAGAGTGACTGACAGAGCCACCAATAACATCGCTGATGTCGTTTTGTCAGACGGTAGGTGTTGGCGACGCCATCAAGAACACCTGCGGCCGAACTTCGCCCCAGTTAGTGCGCCTCCTGGACTGCCGCCTGAGCGACAGACTTCTCACCGACGCCAGTGTTACCGCCTGTGCAACAAGCTACGTCAACCACGGAGTGCGTGTCGGAACGAGCGGGTGTGCAACCGGCTGAGAAACTAGTTCCGCTACCCAGGAAGTGTGAGTCGGAGCAATCGAGTCCAGTTGCTGAGCCGTGTCCTGATCATGCAGCGAAAGTGGGACCGCAACACGCGATCTGGTTGTGCCTTCTAGCCATGACAGTACGCCAATGCTGCGAAGAAGCACAAGGACAAAAAAACCAGTTGTGCGTTTCTGACCACGAAGGCCGCTAAACTATCGTTGTTTTGTTTGTTGGTGGGGAGGAGTGTAACATAATAGCCACCGCAACACGTGCTGATATGTGATGTGTGATATGTGATATGCATCGTGTTACGTCAGCACCAGGTTGCTATAAAAGATGAGTGCGTAGGAAATAAAGAGTTAGTGTTTTTCCACGGTATCTAGTGTGCTGTTCTTCCGTCAGCTGCTCTCCGCGAGTTGGCTATGACACCAAGCCTCTCTGCTGAGTTGTAGCGACACCACGCGTTCACGAGTTGTGGAAACACGCTCATTGGCTGAATGTCGTCAGCTCTCCCTGCCGTTCGCCATGCCCGCTCAACAGCGAGAGAAATGATTTTAATACGCAATGCCACTCTCCGCAAATGACGTCGCATGTACCGTGTGACGGGGATGTAAAGCATCCTGCAATGCTTTGTCGAAATAAGGAGTGAGGATATCCGAAAAAGGGGCCTTCACACAGAACCGACGAGAAGAAAATGGCAGAAAAATGGCCGACTAGGAAAGCCCGGGCGTGTACCAAGCTGTAGAAAAAAAAGGCGAACTCTTGTTGTTACGAAGCATCGGCGCGTGTATAACATGTACTGCGGTTGGCCACGTTTGTCCCATCGAAGTATAGTTCAGTCATCCTATAGCTGATCAACTTTAGCTGATCAATTTATTTTAAATGCGAAACATTTCTTAGTGAACTTCGGCCACTTTGCGCGTATCTATCTATCTATCTATCTATCTATCTATCTATCTATCTATCTATCTATCTATCTATCTATCTATCTATCTATCTATCTATCTATCTATCTATCTATCTATCTATCTATCTATCTATCTATCTATCTATCTATCTATCTATCTATCTATCTATCTATCTATCTATCTATCTATCTATCTATCTATCTATCGGTCTGTCTGTCTGTCTGTCTGTCTGTCTATCTATCTATCTATCTATCTATCTATCTATCTATCTATCTATCTATCTATCTATCTATCTATCTATCTATCTATCTATCTATCTATCTGTCTATCTGTCTGTCTGTCTGTCTGTCTGTCTATCTATCTATCTATCTATCTATCTATCTATCTATCTATCTATCTATCTATCTATCTATCTATCTATCTATCTATCTGTCTGTCTGTCTGTCTGTCTGTCTGTCTGTCTGTCTGTCTGTCTATCTATCTATCTATCTATCTATCTATCTATCTATCTATCTATCTATCTATCTATCTATCTATCTATCTATCTATCCAGCCACCTACGACTTTTAGCTTTCCTTGGCCGTTTCGATGATGGTATCTACACCAAACTTGGTATGACGTAACATGACTGTATGAAGAACATATTTGACTAGTCATAACATGAAAATGATGTCACGAATGTCATGAATGTCATGATTTACATTTCGTGGTCTTGCAGATCTTGCCATGGTTTCGTTCACATGGCATATTGGAAAACTGGTATGGTATGACATGATTGCATGGCGAACACAAGCGGCAGACCCTAACATGGAAATCATGAAATGCGTGTTATGTAACAACATGACTACATCCTACACTCATGATACAGTTGTGACTGTTTCGATAGCTTCCCATGTACCAAACTCGGTATTACGTGACACGGACGGACGACATAGGTAAATGACACATACGAACATGATAATCACGACATGCATGTCATGTAACCACATGACTACATGCCACACTCATGATGTGCTCGCGGTCGTTTCGCTACCTTCGCATGTGCCAAATTTTGTATTACTTGACGCCGATGGATGACGAAGGTATGCGACTGGTGCAGACCAAGCAGGATTAAAAAAAAATTGCTGGAGTGAAAATCACTTCCCAGGAGTGAAGCCGTTCCACTGGCAGAATGTCGGCTGTGGCGGCCATCTTGCCAGGGGCATGATAAATTATCACCGTTCAGAGAATAAAAACGAAGCGTTTCCCTCGCACGCCCAACAAGTTTAATCTGGGAACTTTTTCTGGTCACATGGTGCTCCAAGTGCGTCTTACAGTTACTAGTTTTTCTTTGTGAGCCTCTAATTGGAGGCAAAGTTCCTTTAAGATTAAGTCATCTATACTCGTTTCTGTGTCTTATTTCGTCGGGAACAACAATCTTTTAACATAGAACTAGCGTAGCATTTACATAACATATCAAAGCTACTTCATCTTTAAGTGGGCACCACCAGAAAAGAGCATGTTTCCGCCATCTTGGCAGTGGTAAAAGATGGCTTCACTTCTGCTGGCAAGGCATTGCAAGAGCTTCCACTCCAGCAATTTTTCTTTAATCCTCCTTGGTGAAAACATGATAATCATGAGGTGCGTGTCATGTGGGAGCATGACTACGTGCCGCAGTCAAAGCGCCAATAAATTTAGACGTGACGTGGTGCCCGTCCTCACCAGCGTTGATTTCGTCGCGTCACGCCGGCGTTGCCACACCAGGCGCCGGTCCTGCAATATACTCGCAGGTGCGCGCCACGCTGCGTTGCTTTGACGTATTCGCGTTTCAGCGGGTCCGGACCCCCCATCCCGAAAAGATGGAGACGCAGTGTTGTCTGGGTAACGCATCGACGCGAAATGCAGCATGTCGCATTACGCGCCGGTTGCCGTCGGGCCGCGCCAACGGACGCTGGTCGCGCGGGTCGGCCTGGCGTCAGACGATAGTGTTCTCGCGTTTTGCTAACGTAGCGTTGCCTGCCCAGCGTGCGCGCGCATCAATGCTACATCGGAGTATATTGGGCCCTTCATGATGCACTGGCGGCCGGTTTGCTAGCTCCATATATACCAAGTTTAGTGTTGCGTGTTCTCAATGGATGACAAAATATATTACTGGAGCAAACATGATAATCCAGACATGCGTGTTATATAAGAACATGACAACATACCACTCTCACAGCGTGCTCGTGGCTGTTTCACTAGCTCCACATATACTAAATTTGGTATCACGTGACGTAAATAGTTGACGAAAGTAAACGGCACATCAAAACATGATAATTATGACACGGAAGTCATGTACGGCGTCATTTACCTACACCTCGTAACGTTCTGCTCACTATAAAGTGACATATCAACTTTTCTCATTCGTGCTTCAGATAGCATCGATTCTCACTGTACGTCGGATCTGCCAATTGTTTTGCGAGTTTTTCGGAGTTTGTCATTACTTCTAGAGTGGCACCGGACTTCACGTTTATCTCAGCGAGTTGCTCGCGGCTACTACTCCATTTTTAAGCGAGTGCATAAATTGCTAAGGGATAAGAGAAATATTAGCGTAATCCTTGCCTTGTGTTAGGAGTGATGCTCCTCTTAGATTAACCTTGTCGCGCGTCAGGCTTAACCAGCAGTACATACCGAAAAGTATCATGATGGCGCTGTCTCATAAAAGTATATACAAACTGCGATTGAGTGAGGATATGCTGGATGGCACTGTACCGCTACTCTCTTATTGACTGCTGCATGGGCTGTGCCTGAGTGCACGGGGAACAAGTGCGTCTCTCAGACTCACTTGTTGCGGGGAACAAGTGCGTCTCTCAGACTGGATTGTCGCCGTACGTGTCGAATCGCTGGTGGGACATGGACGATGTGGAGCGGCCGGCGTGGATTGCCGCGGTGCATCGTGCTCGTCACCAGACAGACAGACAGGCAGGCAGGCAGGCAGGCAGGCAGGCAGGCCAGGGCAGACAGACAGACAGACAGACAGACAGACAGACAGACAGACAGACAGACAGGCAGGCAGGCAGGCAGGCAGGCCGACAGACAGACAGACAGACAGACAGACAGGCAGGCAGGCAGGCAGGCAGGCAGACAGACAGACAGACAGACAGACAGACAGACAGACAGACAGACAGACAGGCAGGCAGGCAGACAGACAGACAGACAGGCAGGCAGGCAGGCAGACAGACAGACAGACAGACAGACAGACAGACCGACAGACAGACAGGCAGACAGACAGACAGACAGGCAGACAGACAGACAGACAGACAGACAGACAGACAGACAGACAGACAGACAGACAGACAGTCTGTAACAATAAAAGCATAAAGTAACAATAAAAGTATGAAGTTTTTACGCTTGATTTTTCTTAGGAAGATGCATAGAATATGTTAAATACAGCGGGTAACTATTGAACTTATTTTGACACGAACAATAAAATCTGCGAAAGTTTTAGCTAAATCTGTCCTAACGTTGGGCAACCCATGTTCAAGGCGCACTGCTACTTTTTTTAATGTAGAGGGGGTTTTCAAAAGAAAAGAAAAGCACGACGGATTTGGGTGACTGCTTGACACGCCTGCTGTATTGAGAGAGAAAAAACGCGCATTTTTAGAGTGGACGCAACTCTAACCGGTGATGCACCAGTGTTACAAACAAATGAAAAACAAAAATAACAACATTGTTTATAAAAGATGCTAAAATACCATACGGTGGTTCGACAAACCTGCCGTAGGTTACACAAAAAGAGGATACACAAAGATTACGCCATCACCCAGTAAAGACGCGCAGCGTCATGTCGCAGGAAGATTGCCTCCAGGAAGAAAGTGGTAATTTCCTCCGCCGATCTTGAAGGGAGTGCAACTGTTTTGGCGCACTTTGTCAAGTGGTCAACTGCTGTGACGATTCAGTGCTTGCCGCTAGCTGATAATGGCAGTGATAGGTAGAAGTCAGTCCCAACAATTTCAAATGGAGCGTCAGCACGCAGAAGACGTAGGAGTCCGGCCGAAGATGAAGTGGATCGCTTGCGGCGCTGGCAGAGCGAGAAGGATGCAACACATCGTGGTATACGCTGGTGGAGAGTCCAGGCCAAGCAAAACCACTGC